CCCCCCCTCCGCCCGCCCGCTCCGCTCATTCGTTACACTTGGTTCTCATGGTGCTAATTTTAAACTAGAATGAGGGCAACGCTTTACACGTTTTCGATTTCGTATACTCGTCAGTGAAACAGTTCGGAAGGCACCACCCGTTACGATCAAGAGAGTGTTGTTTCCGTTTGATTTGAATCACGGGGAATCCCCGGTCGTACAAGCGGTCTCTTATTGGTCGAGAGAAGGACGTTCGTACGAGAGGCGTCTAGGGATAATGGCAAAGAAAAGCCCTATGGGTACAGCAGGGTCGGGGACTGGTTTTTAACAATTTTTTATTCACTCTGTCGACAAAGAGATTATGTTGTACTGTGTGTATACTCGTGTAAATGGAGAGAGAGAGACGCCCCGTATGACTGGCCGTGTTGCGTGAGAGCGGGAGCCTGAGATATATAGACATATGTGATAGGCACCATGTGCGGACTTCAGTATTATTTTGCAGTTAACGGAGGGTAAGGGAGTGCAGATAAAAAAAAGGGATCTTACTACGTTAGTTAGTGACTTAAAAACTTATGCTGTTTCGTTGTTGTCAAAAAAAGAAAAAAAAGAGAAAACCCTTTAGGGAGGAATGCGGTAAAAAAAATCCCGACCCTCCTGATCGCGGTCGTGGCCACGGATCCGTATTTGTCAGCCAGTCGACAGAGTTCTCTCGTCACGTCGTGTAATCGGCGCCTTTTGAATTTCTAGCCGTGAAACGTGCCAGTGGCGACACCGTTGCGACCAGTGGTCACGACGCCCGCGCGACGCCTCGCGGCCGTAATTATCATTACTCCGTAATAGGCTTAGCTAGAGGAAAACGACGACTATTGGTTAATTTGTATCATTATTAATTATTATTATTCAATTACGATTATTAATTATTATAAATAGAAATATTGTATATGTAGATGCGTTAGGCCAATTTTCGGCGAACGGCCCGCGGAGGTTCACGGTCAGCGGGGGTTGGCCGATTATTAATTATAATTCATTGTTAATACTTGGATCTGGATAAACGAAATCACACAATGTACACACAACGTTACATCACTATACCTGACACAATTACAACGGGGAGGGAGGGAAAACAAAAGAGAATAATAATAATAGTACACGGGCACACGCCGATTTTTAACACGCAAAACGAACAAGTACACGTCGCATTACGCACAATTTTTTTTAAGAATTTT